ATTTAGGAGTCTTGATAATTTATATGTTCTATGTTTTCTCCCTGCCCCTTTCCAAAGACCTTCTAATGAACACATTTTTGTTATTTATATATTTTTATTGAGGTAACACTGGTGTACAATCTTGTTACCACCTCACATTCTGTTGCCTCGCTGGGCAGCAACCTTGGGAGCAACCTTGAGAGCAGTGTGGGACAGAGGAAAAATAACTAAAATGCCAAGCAGTTAAAGAGAGAGGCATAGAGGGGTTACATTTCTGGAGATACAGCACCAATTTCCAGGCTAGTCTCACATTTACTTGGTATCAGATTCAGGAAAGGTGGGCAACTCTGTGGTGGGCAACTCTGTAGAGGAATGTGCGGAGGAATGTGGCTGGTGGGGATGTGGACTGGGGATTCATACTAGTCTGGCACAAGCTAAAGGACAGTGAATAGGAACTGCTGCTGGGGGGGTGGGGGTGGGGGGGGAGCATTGTTCCTGCTAATCACAACATCCTATCTCTAGTCCTTATTTCATACTTTCTGTCAAGTTGTCTAGCTCGCTATGCTAATCTGGCCATAATGTCTGCCTGCTGTTTTCAGCAGATATCCTGATACCAAGATTTTTGGTGAGAGGCTCCTTGCCTGACTACATTTAGCTTAACCAAGCAGCAAGTTGGATGCAATGTAAAATCCCAAAATGAGGGGGCTGGAAGATCCATATAATTCTCTTTCAAAATACTCATAATCCTCCACCCATAGTCCATTGTGCCCTCTCCTCACTTTGTTTCTGTCCATCCCCCACTAGTTTGGGTTGCTTTCATTGGACAATCACATTTCTAGAGTATGTTATTAGTTTTAGTTTGGTTTTACCTGACATTTGTTTGTTTGTTTGTTTGTTTGTTTCTCTATATTACATCTATCAGTGACACCATCGAGTATTTATCAAATATTTGTCTTTCTCCTTGGAGAAAGCTAAGTGCTATTTCACTTAGCATCAACAAATCTGCTTCCATTCATGTTGTCACAAATGAGCAAGTTTCTGTCTCCTGTTTCTGTAGGATTTGACATCAACAGTTTAAAAGATTCTCGGGTGATTACAATGTACATCCAGTTCTGAAAACCACATCTATTTCTTTAAGTTTTATTTAAGATTTTTTTTTTTATCCATACAGAACTGGGGTACAGGCCAGAGGTACAGGGGCAGTGAGCGGATTCACCAGAGACAGAGTGGGGGGCAGAACAGGCAGACTGACAAAGTACACTGCTGAGGGGAACAGCGGGCGGGTCAGGAGAGGTCTACAGCCCCATGTGGATCACCTCTGGGGGCGGTGGGGATTGAACTCATTAGGAAGTGGCTTTAGCTTCTTAGTCCTGTGCTTTAACACACTGCGCCACCAGGGAGGGCCCCCTTAATTTTTTTTTTTTTGAAATTAACTTTCATTTTTCTAATCTCAATTTATTTAATTTCTTTACATTCACTTAATTCCTCTGGTCTAGACTAGATCACTGCCCTTGTTAAGAGTCATACTAACTCTGGCCCTCTGTGGTGGTGCAGCAGTTTAAAGCACTGCACTGAGTAGCTAAAGCCACTTACGCATGGTTCCATTCCCGCCTGCCCCGGAGGTGACCACATGGTGAGGCAGACCTCTCCTGACCCCCCGCTGCTCCCCCTCAGCAGAGTACTTCATAGATCTGCCTGTTCTGCTCCCCACTCTGTCTCTGGTGAAGCCTCTCACCTCCCCTGAGCCTCTGGCCTGTACCCCAGTTCTCTATGACCAAATAAATAAATCTTAAAAAAAAAAAAAAGTCATACTAACTCCATCTACTTTCACCTGGAGAATTTTAATGCAGTTTGAAATTATAAAGGAGATCCTCACAAGAAAGAATTTTAGACATCGTATAAATAGTAAAAATTGAAAGTCAACTTGGATCAGAATATCTTTATTTTATTTCAAAGATACTTAATATAGTCATAGTTAAGCAAATGAAATTCAAGTGGAGTGCAATAAGACTTTTTTTAATTTGCATTTTCCTTTGCTTGAGTAGTCTTAAAAAATTGCTATCAATTTTCATAAGGCATCTAGGACCTCTGAGGAGGGAGGATATATAAATTCCCCAACTATGTTACAAAATTAATACCACCTGTTTTGGAGAACTGGGATAGACAACCCTTTTTGTTACCTCAATGGGGAGGTAAGCTGAAGAAAGGAGGAAAAAGAAACTGGTAACCTGTGTTCAACTTAGTGACTGAACAGTGTGAGGGAATGAATAATTCCAGTGAGGGTGCATTTGAGCGGAATAAACCTCCTGGCCTGCTGTCTCAGTGCTAATTGAAACCGGGGACTAAAACTTAAGCATGTGAGTGTTAACTAAAAGAGCTGTTACTGCAGAACCTTGAATAAAAAACCTTTCTGTCATTAAGCATTAGATCTCAGAGTATCCTACTGCTGACAGCTAATTTAGAACAACATGTGCAAAAACATCTTTTGGCAGCTACCAAAGAATGCGAGCTCATGAATGAATGGACTTTCCCATAAAAGTTGAACAGACACTCATAAAGAGATGAATAACACCAAGTATTACAGTTAGGGAAAAAAAAAACTGAAGGAAGAGGGAAAGGGAGACTCAAAAAAGAATTTAGACTTCCTGCCAAGAAAAGTAGGTGGAGACTCTGAGCTAAGTCAGATCTCTTTTACAACTATACAGTTTTCCTAACTCACTCCTACACAGATTGTAAGTGCAGCAAAGTCATGAATGTGGTCTACTTTAGTCACTGGATTCCCAACAGCTTGCACAGTGCCTGTCAAAATTATTTGCTAAAAGATTAAATAGTTGGAGATATGTGAGCATAATAACTACCAGTACTATTACCGGCTGTACATATAAACTTCTCTGGGAACACATAAGGGAGTGATTGATTGTATTGAGGATAAATTACACGAACAAAAAAGTCTATGCAAGGCTAATTTCATAAGATACTTTGATATAAATATTTCTTGTTCAAATTAGTAACCAGAGGTATGTATACACTAGGCTAAAATTCACAGGAGAGACATAAAAAAAGAAACAAAATTAAAAGTCCACAGAAGTAGAGGCCAGACTTTTTCTTATCTACTATAACACTAAATAATGTGCACATAAACCTTCTAAAAAAGTCAAGATTTTGTATGTTTACTATTTTATACACATGAAAAAAGCTTTGATTTGATTTTGGTGGGTCACCCCAAGCTGTCGTATAATATTTTCTAATATGTTTTCCTGAGAAAACTAGTCCCAGGTGGATGTCTTTTAGCAAACTAGATATTTAATCAGGTAAATCACTCCAGTTTTTGATATTGTCCCATTCTTTAGAAAACTAGCTAAATGCCATCAGTGGTCATGTAAGGGGTCCTTAAGTACTGGTTTTCTTCTTTAGTCTGGGGAAGACTGACCAAAGGCACAAGTTGCTGAACTTAGTGTTTAGAGGTCAATTTCTAACAATAAGTGCATAAAGATCTTAATCTGATCATCTTAATCTGATAATCCAAGTTTCTACTTCAGGAAACTAGAAAAATAGGACAAATTAAATCAAAGCCAACAGAAGAAATAAACCAAGAGCAGCAATTAACAAAATCTGTGGAACTATTGACTCAATAGAGAAAATAGTAAATCAAAAGATAAAAATTAGTGGAATCAAAGATGATTGTTTAAATAGATCAGTAAATTAATAGTAAGATGTTAAATAAGAAAAATAAAGGACATATCCCTTGAAATCAGAAATGAAAAAGGGAGACTACTACAGATCCCATGGAATTTGAAAGACTAGTAAGATTACTATACCCAGACATTTGATCACTTAGATGAAATGATCCAATTCCTTGAGAGACACAACTTTAATAAACTCACACAAATGAAATACATGATGTGAACAGACCTATATCATTTATATAAATTGAACCAGTAATTAGTAACCTTTAAAAAATGAATGACCAGGCTCTTCCTGGTGGTGCAGTGGGTTAAAGCACAGCACTAAGAATCAAAAGCCACTTCCACATGAATTCGATTCCCGCCTGCCCGGGAAGTGACCACATGGCACGGCAGACCTCTCCCGACCCGCCCGCTGCTCCCTCCAGTAGTGTACTTTGCCCATCTGCCTATTCTGCTCCCCACTCTGTCTGGTGAATCCTCTCACCACACCTGGGCCTCTGGCCTGTACCCGAGTTCTGTATGCATAAATAAATAAATTAAAAAAAAGAAAGAAAGAAAGAAAGAAAGACCAGGCCCAGATAAGTACACCAAGGATTTCCAACAAACATTTAAGAGAGAAATTACAATATTTGTCTACAATCTCTTTCAAAGTATAGAAGCAGGGAGATACTTTCTCTTTTTTAGGTTAATTGTATTATTTTTATTTCTAAGAAGTTGTTTTTCAATTTGTTGGACTAATGCATTCTTGTTACAACATTAAATGAACCTTAATGTAAACTATGGGATCTGGGTAATCATGTCTCAATGTAGGTACATCAATTGCAACAAATGTACTACTCTCAGTAGGGGAATTGGTAATGGGAAAGGTGATATATAGGGTATCTTTGTACCTTACTCTCCATTTTGCTGTGATCCTAAAATGGTTCTATAAAGTCGAGTCTTAAAAAAAAAATGCTTAAAATAAGATCAGGAAGAAAATCACTCATGATTCCAGTATTACAATGCAGGCATTAAGAATTTGGCAAACTGTTTTCTTTCAACCTGTGGTTTTTCTTTTCAAAGGTTTTTGTACTTTACAGAGTTATAATCATTCCTTCTTTAATATTTAAAATTGGAAAAAATAGTTATGCCCTTTGAATGTATTGAAATTTATGGAAACATAGTCAAATAAGAACATGTATTTAAATAGTTCTATGCATATGTATTTCTTTTACATTTGGAGAAAAAAATGACTATTTAAAAAGCCATGCTATACACATTTTCTATAATAAAACATAGTGATTATATCTCTCTGAGCATTTCATATCACATAACTAATAATATTAAAGTACCCACCTCTTTTTCCAACATCAAACCTTCTGCTCTGAGGTTCTTTTCAAAAGTGTTTCTTTTGTCATACTGTATATTTGACTTTCTATAAACCAGAATGTAATCAATCCGCTTTTTTCCATCTTTGAAAAGAAGTCCACTGGATGCTATATAATTCATGTCATTCTGAAAATAAAGCAGTGATTGTTAACAGTGCAAGTCAGATAAACACACATTTACAATCCAGTCATCTCCATGTAGCTATTGGCAATCCAATATTGAAAGATAACTTTTTTACATGTCATTTATGAGGTGGTAGAAATATGAAAGAAAGTTTAAAACCTACTATAGAAGACAGTGATGTTCCAGGATTTGAAACTAGGCATTCTGGCTCCAGAACGTGGTAGCAGAATGCATGTGTTTTATTTAATAAGACCCTGTAAAAATAATATCAGCTGATTTGGTGATGGGAAGTCCAAAGGGATTACAACTGAGATAGAAAAATGCACAAAATGATGGGAAAATAAACTATTATATTATAAAAAAAAATATCAGCTAACACTGGTTGAATAGTTACTCAAGATCAAGCCCATATACAGTGATCCACATGTTTTCTTATTTAATACTCACAACTTACATTTCAAAGTTAAGGAAAACTAAGATTTAAACAACATAAATACCAAAAAGTGAAGCCAACATAATTTCCTATATTAATACTACTATTCAGACCAAACATCATTTCCCTAACACTAAACACACAATCATTAATCCAAGAAATAATTCCTGAGTTACTTGCTTTAAGAAATACTTAATGTCTTAGCCTAAATTTTTATAGTTTCTACCCTCGGGTCCTAGAACCCTTTGAAAACTATTGTGTAACTTCATCCTTTTAATATACAACTAATACTCTATCCAGAGAGTATTTTTATTTGCTACAACTTTAGTAAAATCAGTTTTTTTCATCCATCAACAGCTTTTCCTGATGATCTCCTTGGACTGCAGTAGTGACTGTTTTACCCTCATATTGACTAACATCACTGAAAAGCCAGGATTTGAATTCAGTTTTGTCTGACTCCATGTTAATAGCTTAATGAATTAGAAGATAAATACCTGTATAACCTTTACCTTTATGGTCTCATTCACTCATTACAAGAAACAGAATTTCATCTTCTCTGATGAGCTCTCCTTGCATGCTCTGAAATATGTTCTGGCAGAATTTGTTTCCTTGGGGCTAAAGGATGAGTGTCTCACTTTTTAAAGGTTGTTTGTTGTTTTTTTATGGACAAGCTACCCTGAATATGCCTGACCTTGTCATAATGGCTTTGGTTGGAGACCATGGTGGGTTCCTTGAAACCTCCTAGTGCCAGAAGATGTGGACATTCCCAGCATAGCTGTTCTATGCGATCAAAACAAAGAATCTCCAGAGTGAGTCTGGCAGGAAGCCAGGTTTTTATATGATGTAATGTAAGCACAAGTCTGTAAACACAGACTTGACATTTTACCAGCTTTGCCTTATCCCAGTATTGAAATGTAAGTCACAAGGTAAAGGATTATGCAAGGTGTGAAAACCTCCAGGCAGAGATGCCTGAGATTATCTTACAATCAGCCTATCCCAAGAAGGCAAATCAACTAAAAAAAAAAGAAAAAGAAAAACCATTGTAAGGTTAAAAGTTGACTTAAAACAAAATATCAACATGGTTGGAGCTGGAAGGGATTATGCTCAGTGAAATAAGTAAGAAGGGAAAAGAAAAATACCAGATGGTTTCCATATTGGAGGGCTAGAGGGGAACCAATAAAGGATCAGGGGGAAAAAGTAACAATAAATAAAAAAGCAAAATTGGCAGCAACTATAAATCAGAGGCAGTCTTCAGGGGATGGAAAGGGATCAAATCTGGGCAGGGAACAGCACAAGGGATTATGGTGATGGTGCACAATGAAGTGCTGCTAGGAATTTGATGGGGACTACACCTGAGAAGAGAAAGCAAACATTGTAAAATAAATAAATAAACAAACAAACAATGGTGTGAAATATAAATAAATAAATAAATCGAATAAAAGTAAGTATTACAGACTATGAGGGAAGGTTAATTGTCTCATTCACTCATTACAACATAGGATGACTGGGTGATAATATATTGTTTAGAAAATGTCACAACACAGGAAATAAGAAAGGAAATGAAAGGGGATCTAGATTTTACTCATGGTTTTATTGCTGTTGATGTGACTTTAGACAACAGACTTCTTCTGTTGACCAATTCTCCCAGCATGGTGGGGTTCAAGTGTCCTTACAGCTTCCACTTTCCAAGATACTCATTTCCTTCAATATTTCTCCAAGAGGATGTCTGCTAAGATTTCTTGGGTTTTCAACTAACTCTGGCTAGAGTTCGAACAGCAGTAAATATCTGTTGGCTTATTTCACTCCCTAACGTACCTAAGAGAACTGTTTAGGGGAAATTAAAAATGACAGTGGAGCTCTGTTTTACTCCAACTGGAGTAAGCACCTTTAACATCATGAAGAAGAAAATAGGAAACAAGGGCTTCTCTTATGTCAAAGTAGAAAACAGTCTCTGATCTAATTCAGTTTTACCAAGTTTCACAAGTCAATGAAAATACAAATCACATACACTGGAATGTGACATTAAATAAAATCCTGGGGGGAAATGCAAAGATGTGAAATCTTATAAAATCTAGCACTAGGATTCAGAAAAAGAACAGAAAGAAAAGAAAGGTGATACAAACAATACAGAAAACATAATTTCAGAACCCTCATGCAATTTAATCAAAAACCTAGAAATGATGGCTAAATTAAACATACATCTTGCAAAATTTATAGAAGAATGAGCAGGAAATAGGTAAGCTTTCAGCTTCCAGAGAAAACTGATAAAAATCTTTAGAACATGCTAGTAAGCTGATACTGAGGCTACTCTGAGTAGATCTAGAAATCAATAAGGATAGCAAAACCAAAATTTGTAAATGTGAAATCATGAAATTTCTAAATAACAAATAAGCTACAGAAATAAAATTACTTTAAAATGAATTTCATCTCTCTACTAAATGATGCTGATTAAGAGGCACTATCGATCTATATATGAATAATACGACCTCTACTTTATACTATATTGAAATCTAATCCAGATATAAACCTATACAGTCATGGTAACTGACTTTTAATAATAGTGTTGAAGTGATTCAATATGAAAAAATGATCTTTTCAACAAATGGTACAAAAGAAGCTGGACTCCTACCTTAAATCATACCCACAATGAACACCCAATGGATTACAAGCCTAAATGTAATAATGAAAATTATAAAATTCTTAGACTGAAATATGTGAAAGAGTTTGGAGACTTTGGGTTTTTCCTTAGATACAATACCAACAGCAAAAATGCAACTCAAAGCCACAACAAAATAATACTTTTCATCTATTAAAATGTTTATAATCATAAAATTTAAATAAGTACCAGTAAATGTGTGAGGAAAATGCAACCCTTGGAAGTTAGAGTGCTCAATGAAGGATGTTGTAAAATAATGTAGAAGCTTTGGAAAACACTGGGCAATTTCTCATAAGTGTTAAGCATGGTTACAGTATCATTAATTTCACTCCTACTGAGAAGAAATAAAAATAATATCCACATAAAAACTTGTGCATGAATATGTATAGCATCATTATTCATAATAGTAAAAATGGGGAAATAATGATGTCTACTCTGAATATTTAGATAAAATGTGATATATTCAACCAATAGAATATTCTTCAGCATGAAGAAGGAATTAAATATTGACATGGCTACAAAATAATACTGAAGAGATTTTACTATGTGAAAGAAGCACATCACAAAAATACCATATGTTGTATGCCTACATTTAAATGAAATTCAATAGTAAGCAAATATATACAGATATAGCTGAATCATTTCCTAGGGCTGGAAGATGAGTAGGTGGGGTAGAACATAACTGCTAATGGGAGTAGGGTTTCTCTTTGAGAAAACAAAATATTTTTAAATTATATTATAGTGATTGCATAGTCCTATTCAAATACTAAAAACATTGAATTGTACACTTTTTTTTTTTAAGATTTATTCATATAGAGCTGGGGTACAGGCCAGAGATGCGGAACCAGAGACAGAGAGGGGAACAGAACAGGCAGATTGATGAAGTACACTGCTGAGGAGAGCAGCGGGGAAGGCAGGAGAGGTCTGCCAAGCCATGTGGTCACCTCTGGGGCAGGTGGAACCGAACTCACACGGAAGTGGCTTAAGCTTCTTAGTGCTGTGCTTTAACCCACTGTGCCACCAGGGAGGACCGAATTGTACACTTTTAATGGACACTGATATATATGGTATATGAACATTATCTCAAAAAAGCTCTTAAATCAACTAAAGATAAATTAATGATTGTAAAATATAGAACACCCTCTAGGCATTAATTAATAGGGACTCTGAGTAAGTAAATATTTCTTAAATATAAAAAAAACATAAGTTTGCCTACAATATAGGTGAATGCATCTGCTCATCACAGACTCATTATAAAAATAGCCACTACCTTACTTTCATCTATAGAGTTGCTATAAGTATCTTAACAGAATTTTCTTTGCATTTGTTACTTAACTAGATAATCCTAAAATTTCTATGAAAGAACAAAGTAGTTTTCATTAAGTTCTAAAAAAATAAGGAAAAGGCTTGTTCTTCCAAATATTTCAGAATTTATCAAATTGAACAGTAATTAAGGTAGCATGGTATACATGCAGAAATAAATAATTTAAAAAGCAGAGCAGATATTTCAAAAACAGACTACATACATGACTGAGATACAATTATAAATTCATATACTTTTCAGCAGACATTTAAATTTCAGAATAAGATGTAGGCAGATTTTTTTTTTTTGCTGGAAAAGTAATTTGTGAGTGTTATTAACAAGAAAACAAACACCTGAGCCAGAAATAAAGGTAAAATGGATCTTGACTATATTCAATATAGCCTTCGTACATTAAACACCATCACAAAGAACGCAAAAGGTAATATATAACAAGAAACTATCTTTCATTAATATGACCAATGAAGGATTAGTTTCCATAATATATAAATTACTCTTAAATCAAAAGAAATGACAAGTAATTCAATAGAAAAAATGTGATTAAATATTAACAGATACATCAGAAAAAATATATAGCTACATTATCTGCAAAG